AATACATTTTAATGGGCATAATTAAGTGTGAAAATAACAGAAGGATATACAGTCAAACCAAAAATTATTCAGAGACCAGATATAATTTTTTATATATTTTTTTACTAGTGGGTCCAGGACACTATAGTTAATTTATGTAAGTGAGGATAGCAAAATAAAGTAAACTGTGACAAATCATACCCAAAATTTCTTCATACAGTGGACTACCAGTAAAACTGATACAAATTTGGGTCTAAAAATTTAGACAGAGTCTGGGGAAAAAATGTAAGTTGAGGTTTGCATGAAGCTTGGTGACAGAGCAAGTACCAAAAATAAAAGTATCGGTATCAGGCGAGTACTGGAAAAAGTGGTATCGGTGCATCCCTGAGTATAATGCATACGTGTGCGGAGTTGGAATTTTTACTTTTTTTGACTTTCCTATTCAAAATTAGAACAATAATTGGCGTTGGTGTGAACATTTCTTATGCATTGATTTGCTGTATTTCAGGTCTTTTGATGAAAACTCAGAGCCAAAACTCTTCAAATCGCATAATTTAGTGGAACAATAATATAATATAGAATCATCCTCTTTAAAGAAATGAGGCATGAACATATGATAATTTATCATTATCTTTATAAATGTGAGCTAAAGACGTGATTCAATATGTGTGTCCTTCTATGTGAAATTATCATAAATACCAGTTCATGCTGTTTGATTATGGCCTCGAAGGTCATAGTAGGACGCGGTTAGCCCTTGCGTACCCTGTGGAAATGCGGCTAATAATTTCTGACTGGCATATAACAACAAATCAAACAAACGTAGATGGGTAAAGGCGGGGCCCCCTACAAAGCGGGGTCCATGGGCTGCAGCCCAGTCAAGCCCAATGGTAAGTCCGGTGGTCTCAGACCAAGAAGGTCAGCAGATTTATTAGATATTTAGATATTTTAGCAGATTTGTGTCCAGAAATCAGCATCAGGAGTAATAGATAGGTCTGATTCCCATTTAGCGTTTGGTAGGGTGACCATACATGCCATTTTCCCAGGACGCGTCCTGGCCAGGATTCAAAACCTAGATATTTTGGGCAATATAGAAATCCTGGCCAGGACGCATCCTGGGAAAATGGCACGTATGGTCAACCTAGCGTTTGGTAAACTTAATGCATTTTCTGATCTTGATATTATTCTGTATATTTTGGAGAATAGTTTTTTTTTTTCTTTTGAGGCGGAGGAGGTTATATTATTTAGCTCTGAGGTTGAAAGGTCTAGGTCAGGGGTAGGCAAGTTCGGTCCTAGAGAGCCGCAGTCCTGCAGAGTTCAACTCCAACCCTAATCAAACACACCTGAACAAGCTAATCAATGTCTTCAGGATTACTAAGGCTATAGGCAGGTGAGTTTTGTTTTCAGGGTTGGAGCTGAACTCTGCAGGACTGCGGCTCTCTAGGAACGAACTTGCCTACCCCTGGTCTAGGTTAATGGTCCGAGTGTTGATTTTTGATTGGATAGATGATTTGATATTTAGGTATCCCAAAAAAACTATTACTCCCGATGCTGTGTTTCTGGACCAAGTAGGAAATTGTGGCCAGCATATTACTATGAAATATGTGTTGGAGTTGTGTGATGTCCTTTTCACACGTAAGTTAATGCCCATGTGTGTAAGTTAAGCGGCTTCTTGTTAACTGTGAAATCTGGGTTATTCCAAATGGGGGTGTATTTAGATGGTGCAAGAGGGGTGTTGTGATTTGGTGAAATTTCCACCAGGCTGTCAGAGCTGTAGCGGTCATTGGTGTTTTAAAACGGGTGTTTTTTGATTGTCTGACTGTAGAATGGTAAGTCTGAAATGCGAAAATCATTGCAAATTTTTTGCTCAACATCTAGCCATATGTTTTCTGATGGGTTTGAATTAATCCATTTGTATATATTATGAAGCTGGTTGGCCATAAATTAGTAGAAGAAATGTGGTGCTTGTGTTTTTGGTTTCTGTAAAGTAGTTCATTTAATTCTTGGGGTCTTATTTTTCCTGTAAAATTTGGTAATGTTTGGGTCTAAAGATTTAAAGCAGGTAAGGGTGGGTTGTGTTGGAATCATTGAGAATAAATAGTTTAGTTTAGGGAGTATAGTCATTTTAATTACTGATATTCTGCCATTAATGGATAGTGGCAAGTTCATCCAGCGTTGGAGATCGTCATCTATTGTTTTAAATAATGGAGTGAAATTAAGACTAAACGGCTCTGACAGCCTGAACATTAATGCCTAAATTTGTGATGTGATTGGTGCATAGAGGGATAGGTGATGTCTGGGATGTCACATCCAAGCTGTTGGGATGTAATTAAAGAATAGAAGATTTACTCCAGTTGATATTCAGAAATATTAGAGAATGAATCAATAAGTAATTGTTTCTTGTAATGATGATGGGGGTTCTTGTAGATACAGTAATAAGTAATCTGTGTAAAGACTGATTTTTTTTGGTGTATGTTTAATGTTTGTACTTTATTGTAGCTGTTTTGATGGATGGCTGCTTCTAATGGTTCAATAGAAATGGTGAATAGTGAGGGATAGAGTGGGATCCTTGTCTAGTCCCCCGGTGCAGTGTGAAGCTACGTGATGTTAGTCCATTGGTGAGGACAGTGGCTGAAGGTGATGAATACAGAATTTTGATCGAGTTAATGAATGAATCCCCAAAACCAAACCTCTCTAGTCTGGAAAACAGGAATTTCCAGTTCCAGAGTAACTATGGTGGGTTTTTGCTTTTTGAATTGAAGAATGATACATTAATTTGAAAAGTATGCGTGTATTGGTGGATTCAAGTCTACCTTTAATGAAACCGGTTTGATCTAGATGGATTATAGATGGTGTGACCTCGGGGTGTGCTCAAATAGTCGAATATTCGATCTGTAATCATTATTCGAAAAGTAAAAACTAGGGCTGTGCGATATGGGCAAAAAAAAAAAAACCTATTGCGATTTCTTTGATCAATTTTGATTTTAATCACGATTTTGACACACACAGACATGCTTTACAGTCATTAATACATGAAACATATTTCCAAAAGAAAGCCAATTAGAGCTTTATCAAAAAGCTGTAACATGTCTCTAGAACAGACATATGGCAAAATAATCACTGAGTAAAGGTGCAACAAAATGTCTCTAGAATAGACATATGGCAGAAAGCAGAGAAAAAAAAAGTGTCCAGGATTTTTTTTTGCCATGCATTGGTCATAGAGCTCTTTGTGGCGTTGCCTCAGATGTTGAACTAGATTTGTTGCGCCAAGTTTACACGTACTCCGTCTGCAGTGCGTATACAGTAGTGATGGGAGAAACGAAGCATTGAATCAATTGAACCAATTGCTTCAAAAAATGATTCGATGTTTCGAAGCACTTGAAACAGCACATGCTGACGACACCTGCTGGTGAAAACGTTGTAAAAGCATCAAGAACTCAGACCAAACTTACAAAACAAATGGAAATATTTTTTTAGAAATACAATTTTTTAAAATAAATAATAAACACTTAAATACTATTAAATATTAGTGCTTGTGTTATGTGTTTTATTTAAGTATAATCAAACCCTTAACACACAATGAACTAAATTAATTATTTAATGAATTTTTCATTAGAGCTGTCTATAAAAACCAGCGGCAAGAGTAGTGTTATTAGTCAGGAGAAGGAGGTGGATTTAATTCTATTGTAAGCTCATTTTGTTATTTTTAAGGTATGATGTGGTTTTTTTTAGGTTGAAATACTAAATGTTTTTAAAAAATATTTTTAAACTATATAGCCATCTGTGTTAAAGGGAAGTTATCTTTTGTTTAACCCACAACATCTGGCCCTGAATTCTTTATTCGAATATTCGTTTTGTAATCATTATTCGAAAAGTAAAAACAAGGGCTGTGCGTTATGGGAAAAAAAAAAAAAAAAACCTATTGCGATTTCTTTGATCAATTTTGATTTTAATCACGATTTTGACACACACAGACATGCTTTACAGTCATTAATACATGAAACATATTTCCAAAAGAAAGCCAATTAGAGCTTTATCAAAAAGCTGTTACATGTCTCTAGAACAGACATATGGCAAAATAATCACTGAGTAAAGGTGCAACAAAATGTCTCTAGAATAGACATATGGCAGAAAGCAGAGGAAAAAAAAAGTGTCCAGGAATTTCTTTGCCATGCATTGGTCATAGAGCTCTTTGTGGCGTTGCCTCAGATGTTGAACTAGATTTGTTGCGCCAAGTTTACACGTACTCCGTCTGCAGTGCGTATACAGTAGTGATGGGAGAAACGAAGCATTGAATCAATTGAACCAATTGCTTCAAAAAATGATTCGATGTTTCGAAGCACTTGAAACAGCACTTGAAACAGCACATGCTGACGACACCTGCTGGTGAAAACGTTGTGAAAGCATCAAGAACTCAGACCAAACTTACAAAACAAATGGAAATATTTTTTTAGAAATACAATTTTTTAAAATAAATAATAAACACTTAAATACTATTAAATATTAGTGCTTGTGTTATGTGTTTTATTTAAGTATAATCAAACCCTTAACACACAATGAACTAAATTAATTATTTAATGAATTTTTCATTAGAGCTGTCTATAAAAACCAGCGGCAAGAGTAGTGTTATTAGTCAGGAGAAGGAGGTGGATTTAATTCTATTGTAAGCTCATTTTGTTATTTTTAAGGTATGATGTGGTTTTTTTTAGGTTGAAATACTAAATGTTTTTAAAAAATATTTTTAAACTATATAGCCATCTGTGTTAAAGGGAAGTTATCTTTTGTTTAACCCACAACATCTGGCCCTGAATTCTTTATTTTTTATAGTACAATTTCGTGGGTTTTTATGTCACATGATTAACTGGGCAACCAGAAGTGGTTCATGGGTTCACTTTGAGATCAACACCCCCTAGTGGTGAACCATCGGAGTTTTTGAAACGTTTCGAAACAGTGTGATGTAATGAAGCTTCCTTTGCTAAAATCACATGACCTGGCTGGTTTGATACGCGATCCGAAACACTGATTCGAAACAAAAGATTCAGAAATAGTAAAAGACGTGCAGGTGAACACTAATGCTTACTGAGCTCCTACTCCCATCATCAGTGTAACCCAATATTTAAAATGTCTTTTAAATATTTACAAATATGTGACCCTGGAGCACAAAAGCAGTCTTAAGTCGCTGGGGTATATTTGTAGCAATACCCAAAAATAAATTGTATGGGTCAAAATTATTGATTTTTCTTTTATGCCAAAAATCATTAGGATATTAAGTAAAGATCATGTTGCATGAAGATATTTTGTAAATTTCCTAACGTAAATATATAAAAACTTTATTTTTTATTAGTAATATGCATTGCTAAGAACTTCATTTGGACAACTTTAAAGGCGATTTTTTTCAATATATATATATATATTTTTTTGCACCCTCTGATTTCAGATTTTCAAATAGTTGCATCTCGGCCAAATATGATGTATAAATCTCAATTTTGAAAAATTGACCCTTATGACCCTTTTGTGGTCCAGGGTCCATATGTTAGCATACTACTTGTGATGTTATTTCTACTCTGCTTTTCCTTGGGACAAGCAGGGATTTTCCCTGCTTTACATACTTTTGGCCAATAAACCCAGTGATATCAGCGTTGGTTGCCATGCAACAAAGAAGCCTGTTCGACTTCCTGGGGTGTTACGCATTCCGGGGGGAAGGGTCCATGGGTCCTCATATGGCTTGTTAACTGAGGTTACAGAGTATTTGTCATATAAAAAGAGAATATATAGTGTGTTGGATTGGTCCAGACGCTACAACTTTAAAATGACTTTGCAATGAGGCAATAATAATTGGTTCAAATAAAATATCAAAAGCAAGTAATCATATGGTTTTATTGAACAAAACAGTTAAAATACATAATGTAAAAAAATAAATAAATAAAGTGCCTGCAGAGAGCGCCAACTGCCTTTACTGCACGATCTAATCCTTGTTTACTATTGACTAAACATTTAATTCAGCCACTGTCATTTCTTGAACAAGAATATGTGGACATCAGAACTTGCAAACTCCGAGCGAGGGGTTCAACTTTTATTTTGAAGTTGCGATGAACAGTTATGCATTCTCCTGTATTGGCGTAGGTTTATAAATGATTTAACTTATAAATCTGATAGAATTGTGCACATTGTTCCCAAATGAACGTTATAAGCAACTCAAACTCACAGCATATGCAAAGACGGAGTTTGAGATGGTCCGCACATGTAAATGATAACCGTTTGTGTGGAGCAGCATTTACTGTGAACGGAGCCGCTCTGAGACACACCTAACCTACACGCATAGCCTATAAATAAAGCGCATATTAAACCTGCAGCGCATAGACTATATTTAATTGAACCGATAGAATCGCAGTCTTTGTGACTTCACAATAGCATTATGCTCTATTGTGATTTTTAAATGGTTTTAATATTTCATGCAGCCTTAGAAAATGGTCTAATAATGCTTTTCATGGATTCTCTTCTGTGGAATGAGTCACTTCAGGTATTTTGGCAGGTAATCGACACTGGCAAAATGCAGTCAAGGATTTTTTATAATCAAGTACTCAAATTTAATCGAGGAATCGTCACATCCCTAGTGGATATCATACTGAATTACTTGATTTTAAATAGTTTCTCCCACGTTTCTGTCTTAAAGGGTTAGTTCACCCAAAAATGAAAATTGGCTTGTGTTTTACTCACCCTCGAAGCATCCTAGGTGTATATGACTTTCTTCTTTCAGACGAATCCAGTCAGAGTAATATTAAAAATTGTCCTGGCTATTCCAAGCTCTATCATTGCAGGTGTTGCAGTTGAACAGTCCACAAGTCGTCAAATAAAGCTTGCACATTCATAATAAAACGTGCTTCACACGGCTCCGGGGGGTGAATAAAGGCCTTCTGTAGTGAATCCATGCGGATTTGTAAGAAAAAGATCCATATTTCAAACGTAATAAACACTTTTATATCACTTCCGCCAACTGTCATACGTGGAAGCCGTGCCGGCGGATGTTGCGTGATTAATGACGAACGCGGAGAGACAATAAAACAAAACGCCAGTCACGAATTAGAAGTGCAAACCGAAGATTTGCAAAGAAGAATGTCGGAGGATTTCGATATAAGCCAAGAGGAGAATGGTTTTCCTTTGCTAAAGTAAGGAAACTTTGCTTCCTTTGCTCCTGTAAACAAACTCGTGAGACTAGCATGCCTCAGAGGCGCGCGCGCGCTGCGCATACATCAAGTGTCATCTGCTGGAATGACTTCCGCTTTTGACAGATACCGGAAGTGAGAGAAAAGTGTTTATTACGTTTGAAATATGGATATTTTTCTTACAAAAACGCATGGATTCACTACAGAAGGCCTTTATTCATCCCCCGGAGCCGTGTGAAGCACGTTTTATGAATGCGCAAGTTTTATTTGACGACTTGTGGACTGTTCAACTGCAACACCCGCTGACTGCAATGATAGAGCTTGGAATAGCCAGGACAATTTTTAATATAACTCTGACTGGATTCGTCTGAAAGAAGAAAGTCATACGCACCTAGGATGCTTCGAGTGTGAGTAAAACACAAGCCAATTTTCATTTTTGGGTGAACTAACCCTTTAATGTAATACCATTTTTAAATTAGATTTAAACTAGAATAAAGTAAAGAGATAACAGAGAATAGTATGATGTATAAATGCTTTTTTTTTTCAATACAGTAATACTTTTTTGAGGGGTGTGCTTGATGTAATATGCAAATAAAAAAACTACAAAAAATTTATCAAGAAATAACTAATTTATTTTGATTTGCGGGTAAAATAAGATTTATGTATTGTGATATTCACCTGTAGACATTTGTGATGGCTGATGGCTTTGAGTGTGTGTGTTCAGGTGTGTGGTGGAAGCTGGATATGAATATAACACAGATATTCATCTTGAACCTGCTATTCTGGAGCAGATGTTAAACAAGTCACCCATAAAACATGTCAGCAAGGTGAGCAGATGCTGTTCTGATGCATTGTTTATGTATTCCTTTATTTTTAATTTCTTAACTGCTCAGCTTGTAATATGCATGGTTGTGTTTGTTCCTCAGGTAAAAACCCCAGTACTTCTGATGTTGGGGGAAGATGACAAGCGTGTTCCCAATAAGCAGGGTATTGAATACTACAGAGCCCTGAAGGCATTGCAGGTACCAGTGAGGTAAGTACAGTGACACTGACACTTATTAGATGGGGTTTCTTTTATGAAACATTTCTCTGCTCTGGATCATTGGTTCATTAGTGTATCCGTGTGTCCACAGATTGTTGTGGTACCCAGGCAATAATCACTCTTTGTCCAAAGTCGACGCAGAATCGGATGGGTTCATGAACGCTGCTCTCTGGATTATCCAACATCTTTCTCTGTGATATCACTTCCTCTCCATAAATCATAACCAGCTTTTATTACACTTTATTAAAGTGATTTTAGCGTTTCTTCAGCTTTGTCGTTGTCATATCGAGGCATCAGCTTGGTGCTTTCCCGTCAGACCACAAAGGGGAAACTCGTCAAAATCTGTCTCTGTGTGATGCGAAAAGCACTTGATGAGGTTCACAGGCATATTGTGTGATATCTGAAGAAGTTAATGTGATATTTAATGAAATGGAATTTACACAAAATGGCATCTGAAAAGATTTCTTACTGTTCTCAATAATGGTTTTAGTTTTCAGTTATTGACAAGTTATATTTGTGCCAAACTGGTTCAGTGTAGCTACTTTGATTTTCTGATGGTCTTCGGCTTTTTGTAATATGGTTACTTTCTGGGATATGTACTAAATGACTTACTGCATTCTTTTCAATAAAAAATTTGACTTTCTGTATATCTGAAGAGAGTAACTTTCTGTGAAGCTGATTTCAAACTGATTTAAAAAATGTGTTGATGGAACATCAATATCAGTATCACAGTGAGTACTAGCAGAAGCTTGTGTCTCTACAACTGAAATGCTATGATCATGCAATAAAAAGGGAAACCAACCAACTAACAAACAAATAAATCCGGTTCAGTGCAAGAGAGGAAAATATATAGTTTGGGCTATAGCCCTGACAGCCCAGTGCTATCCACTCCTCGACTTCGCTTTTCAAGGCCATCCAGGAGATAAGTGGCACGCTAAAAGCTCTTGACCTCAGCAACAACGAATTCCACTTTATAATGAAGGGTATGGGACATCGCTTCACATTCCTTCCACACTTATCACCTCTTAAAATACTGAGTCTAGCGAACAATCACATTGGTCTCAGAATCTCTAACATTCTTACTAGTACTTCTCTGAAGTATCTTGATTTCTCTGGAAATCGTTTGGACATAATGTGGGACTCTAGGCGTAACCAATACCTACATTTCTTTCAGGGTCTTACTAATCTTACACAATTAGACATTTCTGAAAATCAGCTCAAATCATTCCCCCAGAGGAACTTGCCTTCAGGTGCTCAGAGTGGACTCCAACATGCTGAGTTATTTCCCTTGGGACAACATCTCAGTTCTCGAACAGCTCTGCCACCTGAACCTTAGTTCAAACATGCTTTCATTCTTACCTAATGTGCATTTTGAGTCTCGTAAGCCTGGACCTAAGTCACAATCGACTAGTTGCGATCCCAAAGGCTCTCCTTAGTCAGGCAATAAACCTTAAAAACCTAATGCTTAACCACAACCAGCTGAAGATACTTGTGCAGGCTCTTCCCATGTCATTCCATAAAGGTTATGTACTTTCTGTCCTGTTGGGCAGCATAAAAACAAGTCCTCCTGCAAACTCATGCTGCATGCCAATCCTTTTACTTGTAGTTGTGTTATCTCTGGGTTTGCCAAATTTCTCAGAGAAACTGATTTGGATATCCCACACCTCACCACAGAGGTTCACTGTGCTTATCCAGAGTCATTGGCTGGTGTGAATGTCCTCTCGATAGATCTTCACTCATGCCAGGAGATATTTGGGAGCGTTGCTTTCCTCTTGCTTTCATCTCTATGGTTGGGGCCTGTGGTACTGCATCCAGATTTTATGGACTGGACACAAGGGACACACTCCATCTAATGGTGGCAGCATGGCAGATAACCAGTATGATGCGTTTGTGGTCTTTGATACGAGTAACAAGGCAGTCAGGGATTGGATCTACAAGGAGATGGTTGTGAAATTGGAGAACAGAAGGAGATGACTCTTTCGACTTTGTCTAGAGGAACGGGACTGGTTGCCTGGAGTATCATGCATAGAGAATCTCCACAAGGCCTTTTACAACAGCAGAAAGACGGTGTTTGCATTGACTAGCCCTAGTGGCTGTTCTCACGAAAGTGGGGTCATCCGACAGGCCTTCCTCCTCGTTCAGCAGTGCCTTCTAGATGAGAAAGTGGATGTTGCAGTTCTAGTTTTGCTGGACCTTCTCTTCCCCAAATTCAAATACCTTCAGATGAGAAAACAGCTCTGCAAAAAACCTGTTCTGTCCTGGCCCAAGAACCCAAGAGTGCAGCCACTCTTCTGGAATAATTTACGTGTTGCTCTTGTCTCTGACAATGACTACGTTTACATGCACACGAATAATGAGATGATTTCCAATAATCAGAGTAAGGACATAATCGCATTATGATGTTTACATGTCAAGAGCAAAGCTCTTCACTCCCGTTTACATGCAATTTACATTATTCTTATTATTCGCTAAGAATTGTGGTTAATTTTTTTTACTGCCAGTATTCACATACCCCACTGCACCGAACAAATGATGGACTCAGAAAGAGCAGGTGTGTTAACTGGCCACTGTTTTAATTTAGGCCTATTTAAGTCTAATGCAAAACACTTTTGTATGGTTGTATTCCATGCTGTTTCGGCGCCATAGAAATGTGATGGCAATTTGTTTGCCTACGCTGCCATCTCATTCTACTCGCCGTTTCTGGATGAGGGTAAGAAGTAGAGACTGGTGGCAGCGAGTTGTGTTTTCCCCTAATGTGATTCATTCTTCCCCTCCATCGTTTCTAATCTGCGTATTATTACAGGTGTGCGTCACGTCATTCATGTATGTCACGAGCACATGCGAACTTTGGTCAGAGCGGCAAAACTGCGATTAAGGCATTTACATGCCTATATATTTGTATTAAAATCAGCATACGCCACCTATGTTAATACGATTATGCTTGCTGCCAATATGAGCTTAATCGCATTATTTAGATCGAAGTATTGCATTTACATGAGGTAAAGTTTAATCGCAATATTGCCAAAATCTCATTATAATCCCATTAAGAAGGTGCATGTAAACGCACTCAATGATAGAGCCTACAACTAGAATGTCACAGAGAGCTTATAAAAAAGGATGAAATGTAATGAGAATGTTGTTTTATGTAGTCCTGTTGTTTCAGGATTTTGTTTGTTTGTTAGAATGTATGATCTTATCATGGGCTACTGGAAGTATTGAAAATATTCAAAGATGTTGCAATACTGAAAATCTTAACATCTTCTGGCAAACTCAGTGATTGACAGTGATATTGGAGCTGTGTGAAGTTCCCTGCTGCTTTAAACGTTCCACCATCATTCCGGTCCCCAAAAAGCCCAAAATCACTGGACTTAACGACTACAGACCTGTCGCTCTCACATCTGTGGTCATGAAGTCACTTGAGAGACTGGTCCTGGCCTACCTGAAGGACATCACTAGACCCTTGCTGGATCCTCTTCAGTTTGCCTACAGAGCAAACAGGTCTGTGGATGATGCAGTCAACATGGGACTGCATTACATCCTGCAACACCTCGACAGACCTGGGAATTACGCAAGGATCCTATTTGTGGACTTCAGTTCGGCCTTCAATACCATCATGCCTGACCTTCTCTCAGACAAACTCACCCAGCTCTCCGTGCCCACCTCCATCTGTCAGTGGATCACCAGCTTCCTGACAGACAGGCAGCAGCTAGTGAGGCTGGGCAAACTCACATCCAGGACTATCACCATCAGCACTGGCGCCCCCCAGGGATGTGTACTCTCCCCACTGCTCTTCTCTCTCTACACGAATGACTGCACCTCTAAAGACCCCTCTGTCAAGCTCCTGAAGTTCGCAGACGACACTACAGTCATCGGCCTCATCAAGGATGGAGACGAGTCTGCTTACAGACAGGAGGTTAAAGAGCTGGCTGTCTGGTGCAGTCTTAACAACCTGGAGCTTAACACGCTCAAAACTGTGGAGATGATCGTGGACTTCAGGAGAAAACCCCCTGCACTCCCCCCACTCACCATCATGGACAGCACTGTGACTGCAGTGGAGTCATTCAGGTTCCTGGGCACCACAATCTCTCAGGACCTGAAGTGGGACACTCACATAGACTCCATTGCAAAAAAGGCCCAGCAGAGGTTGTACTTCCTTCGCCAGCTGAGGAAATTCAACCTGCCACAGGAGCTGCTTAAATAGTTCTACTCTGCTATCATTGAGTCTGTCCTGTGTTCATCCATAACTGTCTGGTTTGGTTCAGCAACCAAATCAGACATCAAGAGACTACAACGGACAGTCAGGACTGCTGAGAGGATTATTGGTGCCCCTCTGCCCAGCCTCCAAGATCTTTACATCTCCAGAGTGAGGAAAAGGGCTAAAAAAATCACCTTGGACCCCTCACACCCAGCCCACTCTCTCTTCGAACTGTTGCCTTCTGGTCGGCGCTACAGAGCACTGACCACCAGAACAGCAAGGCACAAGAACAGTTTTTTCCCACAGGCTATACTCAGTCTAAACAATTAAGCTTTCAAAATTATACAACTAACATAGTATATTTATATTAAACTGCACACTTTGTAAATAACATATCTATCTGCACACTAACAAACATATCTGTACATTTATCTAAACAATTACATTTTTTCCTATACTTCTATTTCTGTATATAGTATATTATTCAAATTTTTTTTTTATTATATTAGTTTTATATTACATCCCTACTGTGTTATTCCTATGTATGTCTACACTATCATGTATGTGCGCACTATGTTTGTACTTTCTTCTACACTGGAAGCTCCTGTCGTCAAGTCAAATTCCTTGTGTGTGTGTAAACATACTTGGTAATAAAGCTCTTCTGATTCTGATTCTGATATGCCAGAAAGTAGAAACAGCTGAAAGATAAAAGTATGTACTGTCACATCTAAATAAGTACTTGTTCTTATACAGAAATGTATCACTCACAGAGATTTATGGAGCATAAAATGACAAAACTATTTGAATTACTGACAAGTGTCATTTTAAAAAACTGAATATTATGTGGTTTAACAGTTTTAGATTTATTTATTTTTACTTGAATTTTGAACGTTTGAAATTTAACACAATTAAATTGTTTTAATGGCAGATTTTTAGACATGTATTTTCAAACAGCAGATTTTTTGTTCTGAATTCTTAGACTGCAAATATCCAGATTTTAAAAATACAGCTTCAAGTTTTCAAGATGAAGAAGAAATTCAGAACATCAAATTCAATATTCTAAAATTCAAAATGCAGAAATTCAGATTGCACAGAAAGTAGGTCAGAGATCATCCACAGGGAAGAGTAGATGATCTCTGAAAAGTCGAACTAAGCATTTTGGCCAATTACTCCGCTGACCGGGAGGGGATATGTTCGGTTCACTTAGTTTTGTCATGTCCACTACATATTAACTCGTGGGAACATGTTAATATGTCGTGGCCACAAGATCATTTTGTCGAGGTAACGATATCCTTATGTCATGGCCACGCGATGTGAAGTTGATGGCCGAGAGAACAAAATCCATTTCTTGACTTATATTGAGGGAATGACAGTGCTTGAAGTGGGCGCTTTTTCGTGCATACCGGCAAATTTGACATGTTACTTGGAGTCAAAGCGTCTGTGTCTGGGTGATTA